ACAGATTCCATTATTTTAAATCTCTAATATTTTAAAATTTACATTTCAGGGCAAAATTGATTTGACAGATAAGTCAAATTATGGGAAATTGGCCTTTCATAAGGCATTTCACATCCCTTACTTCACGGGTGTCAAACTTGTGACGTCATGTTTTTCCCATTGCTGGCAATGGGGTGGGCACGGTTTTGGCGTGATGCATCTGGCCCACAGGCCAGCAGTTTGACACCCCTACAGGCTTATTTTATGGTTGGTTGTTTCTTTCAAAGTGTGGATTAATTAATTTGAAGTCATGTGGAAATGTAGCCACCTTCTTAGCTACTGGCAGGGAAAGATGCCTCTCAGTGAAAGTCCTTAAATCTTTATTAATTGCGCGAAATGAGAAAATTTGGTTCTGGACTATCAAGGAGTTTATACCAAGTATTTGAGTTGGCAATTCTGAGAAGATGTCCTCATTTGCAGTCTGATTAGTGCAAATCTAGTAGATTGTCTGCCATCTAGTGGATATTTCTGTGAATGGGAAAAAAAAAGATTCAGTAGCATACCTACTGTATATAGTACTAGAACTCTCCTTGTCATGACCTTTAACTGGCTGCATCACAGGACAACAAGTTTTGAACCAAAGTACTTCAAATGGGTTAGAATGCCTCCCACCACCAAAGTAAATGCAGAAGCTGGAAGAAATTGGAGGGAGGGAGGGAGGGAGGAAGGTTTCGGATGCTCCATGCAATCTTTGCATAAGGAAACTCAGTGAGGAAGCCGGTAGGAAGTCAGAAGTCACATTTGTTCCACTGCTTTTCTTGATCAACTGTGTTTGTTCTGCTTCTCTGTTGACTTAAGGAAATGTCTCTGAAACAATAACCCAACAGGGCATAGGTTATTTAGTACCCATTTAATACTTGATTTTGGTGGATCTTTTAGTCTATGTAAATGACAGCATGATCATCTAACCTCTGTTGCACTGAAATAAAAATATTGAAACTTTATATATTGTCTCAGTGATGGCTGAGGGTGCACACACATAGCAACAGTCATCTTCATTTAATTGTGCAAAATGCCTAAGCAATAAATATAAATGGATCTGTTTCATATGAGCATGTTGCCTTTATGGTACAAAATGATAAGCTATTTAATAATATTTTTAAAAAAAATATTTTTCCAGATTTTGAACATGAGGGCTTAATTCCAAATTATACAGTTTTCAAACTGAAGGTTCTAATTGTGAGAGATTGAAACTTGAAGTAGGAGCTTTAAGATTAATGCTGTTTTGTTAAAATAATAATAATAATAAACCATACTTCAAAACCTCTTTTTATAATGCAAGGATGTCTCTTGGGCAAGCAGGATCAAGGATCCTATTGCAGGATGTTTGATCTCCATTCTGGTTTTGTGCAAAGAGTATCTATATCAGCTTTTCCTAACCTGCAGAACTCTTCTGAACATTAAGTACAACTCCTGTTTTAACCTTCGAGAGAGTTGATGTCTAGCTGAAGTTGTCTGAAATAGACTTTCTGCATCTGAAGCAGTCTACTTCACATCTTGTGAAATACAAAAATAGAAATTTGCAGAGTAGATGCAAACCATTTTTCAGATAGAAATGCCAAGGTTCCTGTAGTCACTTGCTCTGCAGACATCCTGTCATCTTCCTTCTATGCACAGATTAAAATAAAAAATAAAAAATATCTCACTTGGCACATAATGCATGTGCATGGGAACGGTATTGTCATAATTGTAGCCAAGAAAGCCTTAATGCTGTCATCACCAGGTTATAATGGCATCAATTAGAAGAGAGTTTTGCATGAATGCACATTCAATAGAAAGATCAGAGCGTCAGCTACACACAATGTGATTCATTGGTCAGTTACACTGACAGCAAAAATGATTTGGAACAGTATTGCTGCCCTGAAAGTCTCTCCCTCTCTTTCTGTCTCTCTTTCTCTGTCTGTCTTTCTGTCTCTCTTTCTCTGTCTGTCTGTCTCTGTCTGTCTCATCTCTGTCTGTCTGTCTGTCTGTCTAATCATTTATCACTATTGAACTGACTGGACAGTTTTCAGTTTAAAAAGAATAAACTCCATAAAAAAAGAAAAAATTAAAAGACAGAATTAAAAAGACAAAGTAACTCTTTTACTTCCCCTTCTTTCCCTTTTAGGTGAAAGGGTTCAAACCAGAAAGTTTTCAAAAGCCGTTGTTCATAATAAAAAAAAAAATGAATAAGAAAAATGAATCTTCCAGGTAACTCTACATGGATGACCTGTTTCCTTTTGCCAGCTTCTGTAACTCTCCGGGTGGAGTCTGAGTTCCACTCTGTGCAAGGTGGGGTGGGGGGAATTCTCAATGCTTTTTCATTTTTATATTTTCATCACAAGCACCTTCAGGAATGCTGAATTGCTGGTATGATGCAACACAGTTCTGGCTTTTTCCTTATTGAATCATTTGTTCATTGAAGACTTCTATGATTCTTACTTAGAACAGGAAGTGTCAGAGCATGTTTTTTTTTTTTAATTCTAAGAAATGTTTCCTTATAAAAATAAGGACTGATTGCTGTGATATTTTATTCTTTCTTATTATTACATTCTTTGCCTAATGCTATCTGTTGAGCTATGCACCCATAACCTCGCTGCATAATTAGTTCAGAAAGATTTTTTTAATTCATTTGGAAATTCCCTTCCTATAATTTAAATGACCTGCACTTGTAGCATGAAAGAGAAAGTTCTCAACCTTGTTCCAGGTAATTTCTTTTTAGGTGTTTGAACTCCACTCCTTAATTTTTATTTTTCAACGATTTTTATTTATTTTTAATGATTCCCAAGTCTTCTCATCTGACTTCACAGCAAAGCAAGTTTTATTACAACAAAGCAGAACTCAGAAATTCATGAGAGGACTTAGTTTTCCTGATCATTACTTGTTATGACCTTTCTCTAAACCTGTTTCATTTTTCTCTGAATCTTCTTAAAGCTTGGTAGAAATGAATACAAGACACAAAGTAGAGCTTGACCGACACAGAATAAAGTGAAAGAATTATTTCCTGAGGTTTGGAAACAATACTACTGATGATTTGGTCCAAAACTGCATTTTTTTCCCTAGCCACATCAATCTGCAGTTTATATCTTTTTAACCAGACCATCCCCAAGTTAGATATCTCTCACTTTATACCAGCACATTTCAATTCTTTTTCTTAACTACATAACTTTACATTTGTCTCAACAACATTTCATTATATTATTTTCAGGCTATTTTGTAACTTTTCAAGATTGCTTGGAATTTTTTTTCTGACTTTTAAGGCACCCACCCAGTTGTTTACGTTACTTGCAAATAGATAAACATTTCCTCCACCTCTTTGTCTATGGCTACTTTATGACTTGTGGACTTCAACTCGCAGAATTCCTGAGTCAGCATGGCCAAGGGTGTCAAACTTGCCATATCACGTGACGTGTTGCAACATATCACAACTTTTTTTGCATTGAGGGAGCTGGGGTGGGTGCAGCCTCTGTATGATGAAACCAGCCCGCGGGCTGGCAGTTTGACACCCCTAGTCTAGTCCAATAGAAAAAGACTACGAGGTTGAGAACTAAGCCTTGTAGCACCCCACAAGAAGCTTCACTACAATTTGATAAGGAATCATTGATAGACACAATTTCTATGTGATTCTCACACTTTCCCCTTTATGAATGTTCATTAAGTATAGAAAATGTATTTCTTCCACCTGAACTAGCCCTTGTGAGCACTGCATTTTCTTTGGATGTGTGACTCATGCATCAAAGCTCTTTTTTTTTAACAAAACATTTTAATAGCAGTCAATTGTTAGGGAAATTCCATGTAGAAATTACAGCGCACAGCTCTGAATCTATTTCAGGTCAAGCCATGAGGCTATCATGATCCACAGAGCTGTAGTTTCCTGCGCAATGGAAATACAAGCTGGGTTCAATTTTTATGAAAGGAAGTGAAGAAAGGTATTTTTATTTTGTGGTTGTCTAGAGAAATATTAACCCTAAGACATAAGAAGAATCGTGCTAGAACTCTCTTTCATGAGAGACTTAATCAGTGCTCATTTATAATGCATCATCACAGCCATCAAGAAAGGCATAGGAACACTCTGTGTTCTGTAATTTTCTGTGCAAATATCCTTGGGAAACAGGAGGAGGAAGAGCTGCAGCCAGGGAACAATCAGATAAGAGGCATCTCAGCCCACAGAAGTAACAGGAGCATCTTAAAAGGGACTCTCTAAAGTTGCCTGGAAAGCAAAGACAAGGGGACAGAGATGTGCTTCCAGACTTTAATATTCTATTGACTATTTTGATTAAAGAAAAGGATACAATTAATTTTGTTTTCACTTGAAAACAAACTGCTTTTGGATTTTGTGCTTGAGGTGGGAAAAAAATGAAACTTTTAGGTTTTCCTGATTAGATAGGTTTGTTGTTTAGAAATGGTTAAAAATATATTATGTTATTACCTTATTCTACTTGTGGACTTCAACTCAAAGAATTCCTCAGCCAGGCACACTGGCTGAGGAATTCTGGGAGTTGAAATCCACAACTCATAAAAGGGCCAAGTTTGAAGACCTCTGTTCTACTGCATAAAGGGAGATGGAAGTTAATGCTTTTCTCCCCCCACTTTATCCCAGACTGTTTCTTCTTCTTCCTTTCCTCCCATTTTCCCATTATTTTCATTTTTCTTTGTATATCTGTATTTTATATTTTGATAAACTGATATTGTAACCTTGCAATACAATTGCATTAGTACTCATAGTTTTGGTTAGTCTTCTCTGGACTACCTCGAAGGGCTGGCATGCTGTGAGAAACATTTACAAATATATAATACACCAATATTTAAATGTATACACCAAAATTTAGTTTCCACAGATACATTTATGTTCTAGTGGAGTGAAAAGGCTTGTGAGTTTAGAGTCTTTGCAAGATTGAATCAACCTTGAACTGATGAGAATCGAACCGCTGGGAGTTGGCAGAATTAGCCTGCAATACTACATTCTAACCACTGTGCCACCGTGGCTCTACATTCATTTATTTTTATTAATATCTCACTCATGTACAGAAATCCCTCAGTGAAGAACTGACAATGACACCAAACAAAACTATACAAAAACAAATGTTGCAGCAGCAGGAACTAGAAATAAAGAATATTTTCATTTTTAGAACCAGATATTTAAAATGCATGACGTACATGGATAATTCCAGAAATGGTACCATCTGCAGAGAAAGCATTATAGAAGGCGGTAAGCAAGACTTTTTCACATTGATCTCAACTGTTGATGGCCTCATGAACATAACTATGTGGTATATGCTTAGCAACAACACAAAAGTAGTCCACAATTGCTCTTTGCTGGATTTCTTGAACTTCCTAGTTTAGTCTACATCAATGGTTCTCAACCTGTAGTCTGCAGACTTCTTATGATGTCATCACAGGGGGTCCGCTAAGGGTTGAAGAAATGTAATTATTTAAATCTTGAGTTACTTCTTGGGGGTCTGTGGCCATAAAATATATTTAAAGGGGATTCGTGGTAAAGAAAAGGTTGAGAACTACTCTATATCATTAGAGATCCTCTATCTTTGAACAGAGCTTCTGAGCCCAGACAAGGTACTGTAATCAGATGTTGCTGCTGCCTGCTGAAACATAATCAAGGTGCTACCAGCAAAAATTTTTGTGGTGGTTGTTTTGTTTCCCTACATGCCACACGTCATACTTCACTTGGAAGGAGTCCTTCGTGAATTGTATAATGTCTTCTGTTCTTGTTAAGCAGTGGTCTTGCAATTGATAAAAAAAAATAACCCGAGGTAGCATAGTGTAATTTTTGAGGAATGTTGTCAGGAAATTTTGCTGTATCAACTGGTCCTATTATTGATGTTACGCATGCTGAAATACGCCATGTCAACACAGGGAGTCCAATCTGATTACATAGTGACCTCTTGAAAGCAAAACAAAAGTTCTTTTCAGATAGAGTGCTGAAAAAAAGGGGGGAATGTCAGAGCAGTTCCCAAGAGAACCATCTGTTGAATCAGTCCTACTACATAAGAGTAGCAGAGTTGCTTGATTATGAAATGGATGTCATATAAATTTAATAAAATTTAATAAATTAAAAAAATAACACAACTGCGACTTTTATCTTTTATCTGAAAAACATTACACTTTTACAAGCATTTTAAAGATTACCTCTTTTAATCTTCTGGATGGTTGAATTGCCTCTCCATTAGTTGCTTAACTTTACTAGCCGTATCATAAAATTTAAGTTCTTTCAGACTGGTGATTAAAGTCTGATAGGAATCTTTTATCCCCTGCATTTCATGCCAACATTCCAGTAATTTTATTTTTTGTTCAGAAGAATCATTCAAATTGTCATGGATGATCCTATCGATTTGGGCTGTACTTAGACCCAATTTCCGAGCAAGGCTTCTGACTTGGTTCACTTCCATATCACATACAATTTTAGGAATGTAAGGCTTCAAGTTAATATCTACAAAAGAAAACAAGAAAAAACTGCCAACAATGCATAAACGGGTAAACAACATTGACCTCAATTAATTTTAAGTGTGATTTAGAGACATCAAAATGATACCAAAATAAAAAGACATCACCCTAACAACCAAAGCACATAGTACACAATAGAAGTTTAGCTAAATTTAAACAAAAATGATTCCCATACATAGAATGCATCATGCATCATGAGCAATATAATCACTTACAATTAGGCTTCTGAGGATTATAAATGTCTACAAATATAGCAAATTAGCAGGTATGGAAAGAGGAGAAGTTAGAATCCTATTTAGGTTTTGTTTTGTTTTGTTTTCTCTTTTGCTCCTTGTGGTATTTTATTCCTTGTTAAATTTGCTTCATTAGTCTATTTTTCTTTTTATCAACATATAGGAGAGAGAGAGAGAGAGAGAGAGAGAGAGAGAGAGAGAGAGAGAGAGAGAGAGAGAGAGAGAATGTACACAGAATATAAATACAGGGGAGATTTTAATATTAATATTAAAACTTAACAAATACTTTTGGGGCAGGGGAAATAGAATGTATTGTTAAGGCCAATAACATATGGCTGTTGAAACTTGATCATCAGAACAGATTAACAACAATAACAACAGAGTTAATGCTGGAAAAAATGGCTAACAAAGCTATGAAACAAAAGCTTAAATATTTTGCAAAAACCTAATGCAAAGGCAAGAATTATTACAGCAGTTTTTAAAATGGCCAACAAAAGACAGTGCTAGATACTGCCACTGGTGGCTGAAAAATGAGCTTACAAGAATTCAAAGCAGTTCCTGACAGAAATATCTTTCAAATAATGTTTATCAGTTAATGAAGGATCAGAAGCAACTGAATAACAGAATATTTGTAGCAAAGGCCTAGATATAGCACTGCTATATGATTAATAAATATAATTGTGCAAGGTTGCAAGCATAAAGAAAGCTACGTTGGATAGGAATTTTGGTGCAGATTTTTTTCTGGATCTGATATGGAAATTCTATTCCCAGTCATCCCAAAGATGGTTTTTCACAAAGCAACTGGACTTACTTGTTTTTTTTGAAGACGTTTTGCTTCTCATCCAAGAAGCTTCTTCAGCTCTGACTGGTTGGTGGGAGAAAGTCAGAGCTGAAGAAGCTTTCTTGGATGAGAAGTGAAACATCTTCAAAGAAAAACAAGAAAGTCCAGTTGCTTCGTGAAAAAGCATCTTTAGGATAACTATGACCTGGATGACTGAGAATCTCCATAGACATCTATTCCCAGTCACTCCTCTGGACGCATACAGTTAAGAGGGAGATGTAATGGAGCCCATTATGTTCCATTGACACTCCTCATGCCCCCAGTCTTCCCTCTCCTCCAAATCTGCTCTTTCAGCTACTCCATGATCAATCACAGAATCTTGCTGTCAAAACATCAATTAATCGCTGCTTTGTCAGATCAGGTCACTGATCAAAATATTTATTTATTATTTATTAAATTAATATGCCACTCATCTCACCAATAAAGTGATTCTGGGTCGAATATCCATGCCAAAATGGTGGCTAATCCTCTCAAGCCTCAAGAATGGCATTTAGCAAGACAATGTCAGTGAAAGGAGAGAAAATTATGGTAATCTCTGCTAAGCTGCAAAGTGGGTATTAGAAGCTGCATGTGGTTCATATATCACTCAGTGGGATAGTTCAGAGGAAGCAAATGTTTTATCTGGAGCAAATTCTACAGGAGGGGTGTCAAACTCATGACGTCACATGACGTGCCGCAATGTATCGTGACTTTTTCCCCATTGCTGGCAATGGGGTGGGCACGGTTTCATCGTGACACATCTGGCCCTTTGGCCAGCAGTTTGACACCCCTGTTCTAGAGCCTAGAACCATGGTAGCGAACCTATGGCACATGTGCCACAGGTGGCATGCAGAGCCCTCTCTGTGGGCACACATGCCGTCGCCCCAGTCCTAGGCCTTCAGTCTCATCCATGAGCAACCTGCATCAATACCCACACAGGGTAAGGTTGCCATGCCCACCCCGCCTCCTCCAAGCATTTTTTTTTTACTAACCTGCCTTTCAGCTGCATTCCATTTCTCTGTTCACTTCTTAGCCTTTGAGAAGTTAGAAAGTCTGATGGAACTTTTTTGTTTTACCGATAATCCCACAAACACGCGGCGAAGGCTGAGAAGCAAACAGAGAAATGGAATGCAGCTGAAAGGCAAGTTAGTAAAAAAAATACTTGGGGGAGGCGGGGCAGGCATGGCAACCTTACCTTGCATGGTGGCAGGAGGGTGGGGTTCATACCTTTCCCATGCCAAGCCAGCCCCTGCAGCCCCAGGGTGGCCGTGCTGGGCAGCAGTGGGCAGGGCATTGAGGTGGAGGCTGGCAGGCCAACCAAAGCAGCAGGTGGAGTGCAGAGGCTCGAGGATGGAGAGTGCTGAAGTGGGCGGTTGGGTCATTGGCAAGAGCAACACATCTGAGCGGAAAGTGGCCTCAGAATAAGTGGGGCAGATAAGGAAAGAAATCCTTGCCCCCCCCCCCAGAAACTGCCTTTCTTTTCTTACCTGACTCCCAGCCCCATGCTGTTTCTTCTTCGCGATCTGCCACGTGCAAGGAAATAAAGGAAGGGTTTTTTGGGGGAAAAAGATCACTCAATCAATTCCAACTTTGCGATCTTTCACGAGACAGAGAAGACAACTTCGCAGCTCTGTCTATAGTGCCACCAAAGCCCCGACGATAAATAAGTGGGGTTTCGGTTGCAGTTTGGGCACTCGGTCTCTAAAAGGTTCACATCACTGGCCTAGAATATCAAGAATTCCAAGATTACTAGCTGTGTCCAGGGAAGAACTGCACAGTATGGGATTCAAATATGTAAACAACCAGTTCTCTGTGTGGATGCCACTTCCATTCTGGGACTGGGCAACAAAAAATTAGCTGCTGATTCTGCCGAAGTGGTGCAAACCGGTTCAATCCCACCACTGGAACTGCAGTGTCAAATTTAGTAAGGAAGCCAATTCATTTAGGGTTAGGAAGGACTTCTTCCTTGAGATCATTTGATCCCAAGTTGCAAATTATATTAGAAGGTCATTACAAGCCACGTATAAATTGGACTTTGAAAGAAATTGGAAACCAATTCAATGCTGGAGTGATTTGCCTCTATCAAGGCTAAGGATACCATCCTTGGATTGCAAAAATCAAGAGACTCATAGATGCCAGCAAAATGTTACTAGTTCTGTAGCCCTAGACAAGGCAAATGTGATGAACAATCTCATTACTACATTCTACATCAATGAAAGACCATCCAGTACAGAACAAATCTTAGTGGTGGAATGATACAACTGAGCCATTACTGGAGTACAGTAAAGCCTAGGCATAAAAGCAAGCACATACAAACATATAGTGCAATGACTGTGTTTCATTTTTTTACGTACCTCGATACTCGATTTTCTTAAAATCCTAAAAGGAAACAATAAAAAAAAAGATGAACCAAATCCACACCTCCAACCTTTGCTTCCTGCTAGTTCTTTTTTTTCTTCAATGTTTAATTTTTATTAAAGCCTTTAAACTGGTAATAGAAAGTCAGGAAGAAGAAGTCAAAGAAAAGAGAAAAGGTGCAAGAAAAGGTAAAAAAAGAAAAGGTTAAAGAAAAACAGAAATGTAAGAAGTACGAAGAAGTGACTTTCAGTATTCTTCACAGCTTTCGGTTCTCTAAAACTCCCTCTTAGTGCAAATTCTATAAAGCAAGCACCACTTTTTATTAGTATAATTAGGCAAATTATATTATTTTGCTTCCAAACTGTGAAATTTTATATCATATCTGAAGAACACTCCAGCAAAAGCCGCATATTTGGATTGAATTTGACCTTATTCTTTGTCATAAAGGAGATGGGTCGTGATCTAATCAAACATTATCAAACAAGGGGGTGGCTCTGAATTCACAGGAAATCGAAAAGATTTACCAATTATACTTCAATCCCATCCATTTCATTGTGTAAAGTATTTATTGGCCTGGACCCATGGTGTCCAACTGATGACATCTTCCTTTTTTAATCAAATTAATTTTCAATTTGTGGTGAGGAAAGTAAATAAATAGGAATCTCTACAGGCCGGAACAGTTTATTGAAACAAGTACTGGGTTTACTATATATTCAGGAAAAATTTTAAGTCAGAACTGTCCCAGCCAAGACAAAGTCTCTGAGGTTAATGTCTCTATTTTGGTTTCTGGCTTTCTATTTTATGTTTGCATACACCTCTTATCCATAAGTGAATGAGGTTGCTCTTATCCATAAGTAAATGAGCTTACTAATGCATATATAAATGAAAAACAAAATTCAAAGTAGTAACTATGGCTTTAAAAAGTCATATCATTGAATAAAACAAGTGGCAAAGTTAAAAAAACAAATTCAGTGCTCAAATATATAAATACAAGAATAGTAGGTATAAAACAGCACAGTATGTAGTTCTAAATTGTCTCAGTGTCTGACAAAACCCATTCTTTTCCTGACAAAGAAAAGGGTATTGCAGTTTTGGGGTGTCTGTGGGGGCCCATATTATTTTTATGGGCAGACTTGCTACTGTTCTGACTTTTTTTACCCCCAGTAGATGTCCCTGCACAGATGGTCATTACTACCAAGTGGGTCTCAAACCTCACCTCAAGATTTAGAAAGGACATCTGGAGGAAGCCTCCCAAATCACTTGGCATTTTGAAGATAAGAACCACAAGGAAGCATTAGCAGTGGAAAAACACCATTACTACCATTAAAAGCTAGACAGAAGCTGCTATGTATGTTGGTTCGATGCTTTAGGTTACTCTCTATTGCCCTTCTTAGATCTCTGGATTACTTCAAAAAAGGAGACTTACATATGTTTCACAGTTAGGGCTCTTTTGAACTGGAATGTTTGGCCTCCTTTGAATTTTGCACCCTGGACCTACAAAGAAGCACAAATAATTATTTGCTAGATAGTCTTCAAATGACCGAAAATGGCATATTAGGAATGTGCTTATACTAAGTGTGAAATGCAGTAATTTCATGTAAAGTTTCTGGAATTTATGATGACCGGAGTTCTTAAACTTACTTTAATTTACTACAATTTGCCATCTTTAAATGGCAGGATGCTGAACATGGCTTTTGGGAGAGGCACCCGAACATGGAAGTGAGATGGTGTATATGGCACTGGGATTGCAAGTTGCCAGTGCCTGACAAGGAGCTTGTGGTTGTCTCCCATTGTTTAGGGATGTTGTTTGTGTCTAATTTCATCTTTTATTTAATGTGAAGCTACAAAAATCTGGTTGGTGTGCCTTGTGACAATAAAGGTATACAAAACATGAGAGCTGGTAGTATCTGTCTCAAATTTTGCCTCCAAGCAAATATTGATGATGGCAGCTGCCACCATATGCCCTTGCTTGTGTACTTCGCTACCATGTGGTGACAATCTATCATGAACTCTGGGGAGGGGGGAAGGGAGGGGGAATTTTTCTCTATCTCAAAGAAGAACCTTGACTTCCAAAATTGTTGAAAGAGGACACAATTAGATTTTAAATGTAGAATGAAAGCTTTGGGAGATAGTTGTTCCTCTGCATACTGGCTGGCTTAAAAAAACAATAATAAGGTTTATTCTGTGTTTTTTAAAGGAAAGTGATATCAACTTACAATAGCGCCGCCATAAAATCAGTCCCACAATCACTGCGACAAGAAGCAGAATTAACAAAAGCCACAGCAAATTCTCTGTGAAGAAGAATATTTAATAACATCGTATTTTCCAATCCATATGGATTAATTTACAGATTTTTGAATCTGTGCTGTTAAAAAAGCAACAAATGCACTGCTAAAAATGGAAACAGAAACCACACATGGTAGAATTGAAAACATTCCTTTGAATGAAACAGAATCAAACAAAATACAGGTAGTCCTTGACTTATGACCAGAATTGGGGCCAGAATTTCTGTGGTGAAGCAAGGTGGTTGTTAAGTGAGTTGTGCTCAGTTTTATGTTTTGCTAGAATTAAACAAAACACTGAAGTTGTTAAGTGAATCATTGCAGTTGTTAAGCAAATAATCCAGCTTCCCCCATTGACTTTCTTTTTCAGAAGCCATGAAGAAGAGTCAGAAATGGCAATCACATGAACTGGAGAGGCTGAAACTATCATAAATGTATGTCAGTTGCCAAGCGCCCAAATTTTGATCATGTAACTGTAGGCATGTTATGATGATTGTAAGGGTGAGGATTGGTCATAAGTCACTTTTTTCAGTGCTGTTGTAAGTTCAAACAGTCACTAAGTCAAGGTTGTAAGTCAAGGACTACCTGTATAATTGATTACCCATTCATGCTACTGTGGGGGCCTTCAAACTTGGCCCTTTTATGACTTGTGGACTTCAACTCCCAGAATTCCTCAGCCAGTGTGCCTGGCTGAGGAATTCTGGGAGTTGAAGTCCACAAGTCATAAAAGGGCCAAATTTGAAGACCCCTGTGCTACTGTTTCAAACCATTAGCTTTTGCTAATCTCTTATTGATGTCCAATTACAGTAGTAATAGTATATCAGTACACTTTATAGGTAAGATCTCTTTGAGCTGAACTCAATTCTTGATGATTTCATCCTAGACCTCTATAATGTTGCTCAAACTCTATAGAAATACTGAAACTCTTCAGAAGATGAACCAAGTTTGACAGTGACTCTTCCGGAGATTGGCCAAGTCTCTGCAAAATCCAGATACTTAGTGAAATCCAAATTAGTGAACATCACTAATGTGAGTTTTCATTAGTTTTGATGTGAGAAACTCCCAAAAAGAGTAATTTAACTCTTAAGATAGATTTTAAATTGTTTGAAAAATAAGTACTAGGTCAAAACTGTTTGCTTCCATTCGATTCACCCTGGTTGAATATTGAGCAAATTAATGAGGGAGCAGATTTCTGAAATTGTCAATGGTCAGAAGAGGAATCAAAGGCAGGTGAGATGGGGGTTGAACCTCAATAAATATTTATTTATGCAAAGTGTTATTCAACACTTACTGACATTCAAAGTGGCTTTGATGCCTTCTGGGAAAGATTGATAAAGGACCCAGGCTTCCATCCAAAGAGAAGGGCAGCCCAGCCACTGATTAATTCTGCCTTCTCCTCACTGCCTCTAAGGCCATTCCAGGGGTTTTGAGTGGAAAGCCATGTTGGAAGGCACTCCTTTTTTCGGAGAGGACAGAAGTCCACCCAGCAGAAGATTTAATCCAATCATACCGGATATTATTCAATTTTAAAGACAGACTGATTTTCCTGGTCCCTTTTGCTTGCTAAGGAATGCCTAAGTGATAGATGAAACTAAATGAAGTAACAGCAAAGAAAGAATTTTGGCTATTCTTTGAGATTGGCTATTAGGGCCTCAACAAGCTGAAACAAGGCCTTGCGTACATTCAAATTCAGTTCTTCCCATGGGCTTCAAAAGGAAGGGGTATCAAACTCAGTATGAGAGCTATAATCATTGATCAAACTCTCAACCCCCTTTATACACATCACAAAAAGAGGTGGGGCTTTCATTGTGTAGTTGTGCTGCTACCTTGACTATTTTTTTTAGCACCCACACAGTTACCCCTTGTATCTCTTCCTTTCTGGAGCTTTAATTAAATATGTCAATAGTTACCTTTTTCCCCACAAATCGTATTTTGGGTTGGGGTGCACGGTTTTTCAATTCTGCCATTTTCACACCTACATATAAAATAGTGGATAATAATGAAGAGGTTCAATCAGAAAAAAGCTGTTCATCTGATCAAGTTCTTCCTTCTTGAATTTCGATATATTCTGCAGTCTCTTCAGCCTTGATGGATCAAATTGGTGAGAGGTGCAATGAAATGCTTGCTGACAAGGAAGGTTCCTGCGATCTCCCACAATGTGTGGAGATATATATCAGAAGAAAAGAAAGTGAGGACTCTACACCCTGCTCTTTTTTGCCTGTTCAGCTTAAAAACAAAATAAGTTCTGGGCATCCAATATCAATCTTAGGATTTGGCTTATCCTGTCAGTTGCTGATATGAGTCAAGAGATTTGGTGGTGTATAAATTCAATAATAAGTAGCATTTATTTATAAAAGTTACATCAGAGCCTTTGTCATAAAAATGTATTTAAAATGACAAGAGTGATGTTGCAACATTCAGAGAAAAAATATGTTCTCTTTGATAACCCACTAGCAACCCAATTGTCAGGCATAAGATAAGGTCACATATCTGGAATTTCCCAAAACAGAACCATTCCAGGTTTAACAGAAAAGTAGAATAAAGAATTGGAAGGGACCTTGGAGGTCTTCTAGTCCAACCCTCTGCTCAAGTAGGAAACTCTATTCCAGTTTAGACAAATGGTTGTCCAGTCTCTTCTAAAATTTCTCCAGTGTTGAAACACCCACAACTTCTGGAGGCAAGTCATTTCACTGATTAATTATTTTTATTGACAGGAAATTCCTTCTTAGTTCTAGGTTGGTTCTCTTCTTGATCAGTTTCCATCTATTGCTTCTTATCTTGCCCTCAGGTGTTTTGGGAGATAGGTTGACCCCCTCTTCTTTGTGATAACTCCTTAGATATTGGAACACTGCTCTCATATCACCCCTAATGCTTCTTTTCATTAAACTAGACGTACCCAATTCCTGCAACTGTTCTTCATATTTTTTAACCTTCAATTCCCAAATCATCTTTGTTGTTCTTCTCTGTACTCTTTCTGGAGTCTCAACATCTTTTTTTGATATCATGGCAACCAAAAGTGGATGCAATATTCCAAGTGTGGTCTTACCAAGGCATTATAAAGTGGCATTAACACCTCACGTGATAAAGAAGAAAAATCAGATTATGCAACTGGGAAGTTTAAAAAAATCTTGTCAGATTTTACAATGCTATAGTTGAATTCATACAATGATCATTATGAATCAGAAAACACCATTCCAATTTGATTCAAAACTTATTGGATTGCTTTGATACAGACTTCTGATGCAATTTCGAAAAAAAATCCATCTTTGTGTCTGTGTAGAGGTGTCTCAATAGAATCAGAGGTATCTCATTCAATCCAGCAATTAGAATACATTTTTTTCAGTTCAGTTAGCTACTTCATTTTAATCAAATTGTTTTTGATTTTAATCTCCATAATAAATATTTGCACAGCTCTGGGAAGCGAGGGGGGGAGGGTTGAGGGTGGGTGGGTGGGTGAGTGAGTGGGTGGGTAATGATAATATAGTCATGGCAAATGCTTGGGCATTTCCCCTATGCTGCGTTCATGTGTGTGAGAGGGATGAGAGGGGAGGAAGGAGTAGGGAGGAAGTAGGATGGTTAGAGGAGATGGGGAGGGGAAGAGAGTAGGAGGGGAGGAGAGAAAGAGGAGGGAAGTCGGGAAGGTTTAGAGAGGGTGGACGCAGCCTGGGGAGAATGGGCAGGCGGTACCAATGGTTAATTGTATTTTATATGAATAAATGGAAAATAAAAACTTTTTTTTAATAAAAAATAAATATTTGCACAGCTATAGATACAGATAGTCCTTGACTTAAGATGGGGTCTTCAAACTTGGTCCTTTTATGACTTGTGGACTTCAGCTCACAGAATTACTCAGCCAGCGTGCCTGGCTGAGGAATTCTGGGAGTTGAAGTCCACAAGTCATAAAAGGACCAAGTTTGAAGACCCCTGACTTAAGACCATTCATTTAATGATCCTTGGAAGTTAGAATGGTACTGAAAAAAGTGAGCTAAAACTGGTCCTTGAACTTGCCTCATGGTCACGTGATCGAAATTTGGGTGTTCAGCAAGCAGCAGGTATTAATGTTAGCTGCAGTGTCCTGGGGTCTCATGAGCACTATTTACAACCTTCCCAGAGAGTTTCTGACAAACAAAGTCAATAGGGGAAGTTGAATTTGCTTAACTATTGATTCACTTAAGGATTTCAGCAAAAGATCATAAAGTAGGAATGACTCACAATGTGAGTGTCAATGCTTTAAACGTTGGATGTTCCCACTCTGACAACTGATGAAAATTGCAGCCATTTCTGCTTTGCTTTTAACATGCTTTTTCTTCTATTTAGAAATCAGATGCAGAAGGAGGGTTGGGATGAATGCTTGAGCTCAGCTAGCCATAATAATAACACTGCTTTGTGGGAAACCAAGGACGAACTGATAACGGTTTGGCGTCTGAGGAGCTGGAGAGAAAGCCCGTGTTTCAGGCTAATTGGAGAACGTGATTTATGACTGCTTATTGGGGGTGGGAATTGCAATTTTTACTTTGTATCCAAGGAAGAGATTTTAATTTTGGGTTCAACTATGTAGTGCTGATACTTTGTTTCCTGAATAAAATGTTCTTTAAGGAAGAATTCTTGCCTTGAAGTTCTTTTGATGGGTTTTATCTATCGGAACCATGACAGTGAGCACTTAGAAATACAAGTTTCAGTCATAATTGTGATCATATGTGAGGATTACCTAAATGACTTTTTTTAAAAACAACAACAACAACAACCCAAAACCACAGACTCTCCTGAAGTAGTAAAATACATGACACAAAAATGAGATTGATTCTCAACCATAATGCACCACCTGGTGTTTGGAAGTGATAGTGCGTTTTCCAATATATTATAAAACCTACTGTTCTTTCTGGATTTAGAAAGAGAGTAAGATTTAAGATTTAGAGACAATATGGCAGTAGTTATCAAGAGAAAGAGATTAGATAGATAGATAGATAGATAGATAGATAGATAGATAGATAGATAGATAGATAGATAGATAGATAGATAAACACACTAGTCTTATATGATAGAATTGAAAAGTTACAGGATGGAGGAGGTATTAGATAGTCTGTTTTATATCACCTAAGCTACTCTGATATAATAGAAGATACTCAAGGAAAACTTGGTTATTCATCTTGTCAGAAGTATTTATAGAAGTAGAGGGGCCAACATCTTGTCCTTCATCATAAGCAGAAAAATACCTAGATTAATTTATGTATCTTACAATCTTCCTACATAATACATATATTTGAGAATAATTACAGAGAGTTACAGTTAAGTGACAATGGCTCAGTTTCCACACCTGACCTGCAAGTAAAACTTGCTTCAAGCCCTTAATTTCGTTTAGGATCTGATTACTTGGCAGAAGTTTTTTTCTGATACATGTTTAGATTAATTCCTTTACTAAAGACAAGAATGACACCTTTATTTACACAAAAATCTGCATCCAACACATAGCCAATACAGCAATATAGGGGCAGGGCAGAGCTGCATTCAAAGTCTTCAGCATTCAAAATTGAGGGGATTTTTTTTCTTCGGCTTGTCTGAAGTCAAAAGAAAATAAGCTTTTATCTTCAAGGCCATGCAAGAATTTTCTTTTCGGCCTGAAAATCACTACAGGTAGTCCTCATTTAAATTATGCTAATTGAGATTGAAAACTCTATTTTTAAGTAACTTTGATGTAAGCTGAAAAACTACATGACCATAGTGCTTACAATGGCAGTTTTGGCAGTCCCAGTTGCTGTCATTAAGTGAGGACACATTGTTAAGTAAGAACCTCATGTGAATGTGACTCCCAACTTCTTGCTGACTTCCTCATTGACCTTGCATGTGGGAAGCTGACAGGAAAAGGTGCAAATCACAATCATATGACCATGGAAATGCTGAAATGGCCATAAGCGTGAAGCCTGATTCTACAAATACTTGTTCAGCATTGTTCTAAGTTTGAATGGTTGCTGAATGATTGGATGTTAAAGATGAACTATCTGCAGTGGCTATCATATCTGCTTCAGTCCTAACATGAATAACAGAATAACAGAGTTGTAAGGGACCTTGGAGGTCTTCTAGTCCAGGGGTCCTCAACTCCCGGGCCATGGACCAGCACCAGTCTGTAGCCTGGGAGCAATCGGACCACACAAACAAGCAAAGCCCTATCCACAAGAGGCACAAAACCAAACACTCTCCAGTCTGTGGAAAAACCTTTCTTCATGGAACCGGTCCCTAGTGCCCAAAAGGACATAGCCAATACAGCAATATAGGGCAGGGCAGAGCTGCATTCAAAGTCTTCAGCATTCAAAATTGAGGGGATTTTTTTTCTTTGGCTTGTCTGAAGTCAAAAGAAAATAAGCTTTTATCTTCAAGGCCATGCAAGAATTTTCTTTTGGGCCTGACCACACAAACAAGCAAAGCCCTATCCACAAGAGGCACAAAACCAAACACTCTCTAGTCTGTGAAAAAAACTTTCTTCATGGAACCGGTCCCTAGTGCCCAAAAGGTTGGGGACCTCTGTTCTAGTCCAATAGACAGGTGGAGAGTGGACTAGAGGTCACTATCTCCATTTCTGCCTCCTTGTTTGCTGGTGCTACCAAGGTATCTCCCACCTCCTCCCCCAACTATTTTAGGATTTTATAGCCCTCACTCCTCCAGCCTGAAAAATGCAAGAGTTGGAGAAGATTTCCATGTCTTCAATGGCTGGAGCTGCATATACAGTATCTTTCCTCTTGTATTGCTGCCTACCTGTTACTGAAAAGAAGGATTAGGGGAGACAAGATAGCAGTGTTCCAATATTTGAGGGATTCCAACAAACGCAAGGGGGTCAACCTATTTTCCAAAACACCAGAAAGCAAGACAAGAAGCAATGGATGGAAACCAATCAAGAAGAGAAGCAACCTAGAATTAAGGAGGAATTTCTTAACCGTAAGAACAATTAATCAGTAGAACAGCTTGCCTTCAGAAGTTGTGGATGCTCCATCATTGAAGGCTTTCAAAAAGACAACCATTTCTCTGAAATGACATAGGATCTCCTGCCTCAGCAGGGGATTGGACTAGAAGACCTCCCAGGTCCTTCTAACTCTATTATTCTATGTTCTAAGTTGACTAAGTTCCTTACTATCCTCATCTGATTGAACAGGTGTTCCCCAATATCAAAGCCTGATAGAGAATAGCCAAATTTCCATTGACTAGAATGGGGAAAAGAAATGCCTTAGAATTTAAACCCTTGGAGAAATACACCATTATGGAGTATTTGTAGGTGTTGTGCAGATGTGATGTGTCTATCAGCTTGATTTCTGGGTTCTTGTTTGCAATAAAGCAGCTTATAAGAAGTTCTGGATTGAGTATGTGAATATTCTGGAAAGTATAGCTCCATGGACCATATAGCTCTATGTAGCCTTAGCTAGAGAGCAGGTATTGGAGTGTCTGGCAGTTATTGGGTTAAATGCTACGTATGTTGATGGGTCAGTGGGAGGAGTATCAAAGGTCATTGAGAGACTTCCTGGACACAAGCCAGATGGGATCTTTTGTTCACCAACTGCATGGTTCCTAGCCACACAGTTAGGAGATCCTTGCCAACATGTAAAGTGCAGGAAGAGAAGAGGGGAAAATCCAATGTCAATTTACCTGGGGAATAAACCAATATTGCAAAGTATGTTTCTGAATGGATCTACATAACAGTGAGTTATTGTTTAGAATTCCTAGAAATAAAAGAAATATTTTCTGTTTATTCTTCTGAGTTATCTATCTGTTTGGATTGGACAGAAAGCAACCTGTTCAGTTTGGAACAGAATAGTGAACCTTTAGGTAATTACTAAAAGGGAGGTTGAAATTCTGGAGAAAAGAAATGAATTGTCACATCTGCACTGAAATATTTGAGTATCTAATTTTGTCACTCTTAGTAGGTATATAGAAAACTTACTTATCACATTTATCACAGTGGCGGCAAGGTTTAGTTGACTCGCAAAAGAAACCAGTCCTACACCTACATATTACATTCTGGGTGATGGTACAGTTTTTTTCAGTTTCCATCCCTAAAATAAATGGAAAATTTTGTTATTCAAATATTTTTAAAAATCTCTTTTTTAATGCCTGCCAAGCTTTGAAGACTAGGCACCCTTTCAAGGAAAATAATGCTGTTCTTCAAATACATGAGGGGATTTCAAACAAAAGACAAAAGGTTATTCTTTACACTGTGTAAAATGCATATTTCAGTAATAGATGTTTGACTGAACATTCAGAGAAACATTTAAATCAGAAGCATTTCTACCTTAAAGCCAATTTCTACTTGAAAACATGTCCGTGATTGGAAAAATATGTCATGAAGATCCTCTAACTCTGTACTTCCTTCATCAAACCAAGGCATGAACAAAGTGGTTTTCAAATTTCCCTCCAATTCTAGGACTCTATTTTTTTTAACAAAAAAATGCTTAAGTCTGCACAAAATCTCTGTGACTTAAGTCTGCATATTTCTTCCAGCTGACATGCTTACATGTTTTTAAGTTGTATTCAGAATAATGTATTTTGCTACATAGGAACCCAGTTGGTTTTCACAGATATCTGCAGCTTGTGAAGACCATATCTTAGGCTTTCTGTAATCAGATGGACTAAATATCCTTTTCTCCTAAATGAAATACATTGATGTTGAAATACAATATTGTTGATCATACATACCGTGTTCTGTATCACAGAAATTACATCGTAGGCAAGCAGTTTTAAAATTGTCTTTATCCATATATTCTTTACCCCCTGTGCAAGGTTTGCAATTGGTTTTAGGATTCTTTGTGCAATCTAAAGATTTGGCAACAGAACCTGTAAAAAGAAAATGTTTCAGAAATGGCCAGTGAAATCCTTCTGATTAGGACATGGCAAATTTGGGCCAGGGGAGACATTTGAAACATTGAGAGCATCCTACAAGCATTCTCATAGATTGGTTACTGTGAAATCCATAGGTAATCACACAATTGGTACTATTATTGATGAGATTGTTCCATCTACTAGCCCATTAAGAGGACTTCTGTGCTATTAGCTTACATATATGTGTCTCAGTCCTATGGGGAAAACCAGATGAGCAAACTGATTATTATTATTATTGTTCATCATACAGATGTTCAGACTGGGTCCTTTCCATGACTTGGGATAGGTAGGTCTGGTTGTTGTTGTTATTATTGGTTATTATTTAAGATTTAATCTTCAATTCAATTCACAGTCTGGGACTGGTTAAAAACTTAACAGTTCAAGTCCTAACTAAGGGCCTAAGAGCTATTAAGATAGCATCTGAGTATAATTATTAATCTAGTTCTATGCCACCTATCTCACTGATATAACGGCTTTGGTAGATTATACTTTATCCAGATAGGATATAGTTACAGAGTCTTGCAAGTCCTGCCTATGTTTTCCCTGCCTTCTGTCTTAAAACCCAGGGAGTTGGGGTAGTAGTCAGTCTGAATCACCACGGTGTAGGAGTTATGGTGCAGAGCTAGGTGTGGAAAGCCTAGATTTCCCTTAGGGGCAGAAACTATTTAGGTAACTTTGGGACAGTCATCCTCTGTGACAACTCACCACAGCTAACTCACCATGGAACAATTTAACAATTCAATTTAATTATTTAAAATAAATAAAACATTATTTTAATTTTTGTCATTCACATTTCATTCTGTCCCTCTGTTTGCATCCTTTCATTAATGATTCTATTCCACCATTTCTAAGATATTAATGTAACTCTTGTACCGCAGCGAGTTATCCCACACTGAGTTGGCCGTGGCAAGCTGGCAGCAGTGAATTGTCATAAATTTGTCAGGAGAACAGAAGAGAGAAAAAAAATGCTGTCACTAGCATGCCTCTCTCTCCATCTTTTCATTCCATTCACAGCACTACACCTTTACATTGTGTATTAATGTTTCAGTGTTTTAGAAAAAGCTTTGAATGTCTTAAGGAGTGATTCCTCAAAAGTGGCACAATTTTCGCTTGAAGAAAAACAAACATAGGTAGTCAGGTTGGGTTATTCAGAGTCATCTCTGAAACAATGCTACACTGCCTTGCCTGCATGCATGCATGCATGCATTGCATAAAGTAGCCGGGGGGGGGGGGGAGAGGTAGATAATAAAGATGGCAGTTGCAACATCAAAGCCCTGAGTAGCCACCTTGAATATTTTGAGACACATTTCCCCTGTAGTATATCAGTCAAAGCTCATGAGAAAGAAGGATATGGAGCCACTACAATTTTCTGAAATGGTCAGGGGTTCTGGTGCCCTTCTGAAACATCTTAATAGTCACTAAATACACCAGGGTAATGCTGGGTGGGAGGAAGGATGCTTCTCTTTCACTGCTATAAAGAGAAAGAATAAGAAGAAAGAGCAGCAATAAATAGCCCTTTTCATAAAAAAAGCCAGTTTGCTAGTTAACATAATCAAAACCACATGGCAGACTTTTCATTGTGCAAAGTACATCATTGTTATACAGTTCAGCCTTCAAGCCATCTAGACTCCACTAAATGCTCTCCTGGGTCTTAGCTACAGCTGAAATTGTATTTCCAAGTTTTTGTCCTTCAAGTAACTTAGGCTAAGTTATTATTTTAAAAGATTTTTTGTGAGCTGTCTGAAACTATAGAAAGGTCAAAAAGTACAGCTTCCTTGTCGTTATGTTAATTTGTGCTTTCTTCCAGGTCATGAGGCAATACAAAAATATTGCAACATATTTTGTGCTGTGTTTGCTACCAAACCGTGTCCTCTCTCAGTGACAAAGTGAGTAATGGGTGTTGCTCTTACAGATGTAATAGGAGTCAACTTGGAGGAAAGTGATGGGTGGAGTCTCTAGATATTATTTGCTGGCAGGAAAACAACAGTAAAAGGAATGACTACTCCATTAGTTGACTGAAAATAGAAGATTCCTTGTAATGATGGGCCATGGAGGAACTTTTAACTTGTATTCTACTAAGCAGAAATGCATTTCAACTGTTCAGACCCAACCTGGCAAGATATGAAACCAAGAAGGTAAGAAAGGAGTACACAGAGGATACATATGACCAGGCCATATGGTGTAGCCCTGTGTTTTTTCTATTTTAGCTCTTCCACTTGGTGAAAAATATTTTAAGAAGACTTTTATAGCCCAATGGAATAAATGGAGGATATGGAGGAGGTCTGCATGCCATAGGAATATTGTTTCATTAAGATTCTGCTCCAGCTAGACTGGTGTTTCTCAATCTTGGCTGCTTGAAGATGTGTGGTCTTCCATTCCCAGAATTCCCCAGCCAACCTGGAAATCTGGAGAGTTTCTGCAATCACAGAGAGGTGGAATGCATCATATTATTTTACAACCTATCACTTGGACTAGTATTTTAAACCTTGCAAATTGAAAATGTTGGCTTTTAACTTCTAGAACAGGGGTGTCAAACTGCTGGCCCGTGGGCCGGACGTGTCACGCAGAAGCCATGCCCACCCCATTGCTGGCAATGGCAAAACAGTCCCGATACGTCGCACGACATCATGTGACATCGTGAGTTGGACATGTCTGTTCTAGAATATTGAGCTAATATTGAGAAACACCAAACTAGACAATGATGCATCAATGGATCAGAAAAAGTGGAGATTGGCTGCTCATCTTTGCAGTGGGGACCTACTGCTGTTGGTGACCATTGCCTTCCAACTAATTTCATGCATTCTCAGAAACACTTCTCACCTTTCCATAGTGACATCAATTTTTTTTCTATTTATCTATGATAATACTTACCAGGCTTACAAAGGTCACAACAGATACCATTGATTTCATATTGTCCACTGGGACAGTTCTGGTTAGTGTGCATTGGCTGTGCTATAAGTATAGAACCGCTATTGTGTAAAGATCTGGCAGCGGTTAAATCAAGAATCTGTAATAGAGAGGAAAACAAAGTATTATTGCATTGTAGCTTTAGGTCTTAGAGTCTATTAGAGATTATTAGTGCTATGCTAATAATTGTACTCTGTGTCAACTTACCTTTAAAGTTATTTTGGAATAACTTAGTAGAGACTAAGTTAATAAAAAACAGAAAAATGAATGAGATGAGCAGATGATAAGAAGACTGATAGGAATAGGATGATGGCTATAATAGTTCCAATGGCACCATTTCATTTATTTATTTCAATTTCCAGGCTGCTCAACTCCAAAATGACTCTGGACACTATTACAAGTTAAAAGAACATTATATAAGATAATAACTGTCCCAAGAACAGAAACATGCTCTCATACCATTTTCCAGGTTAAAGGGAACTTCTCAACCATCCTAACCTAAGGCCTATGGAAAAGTGAGATGTTTAAAGAATAGTTTGAGGTAGGCAAGGTATGGGGGGGGCATACCAATCTCTTCCAAAGGGTGGATATAGCAACAGAAAAGGCCCATCTCTTGAGTCCAAATAGATGACATTATTCAATTGGTGAGATCTGAACCAAGCCAGTTCTGCTGGAGCAAATAAGACAGGGAAAAAACTACAGTAAATAGCTGGTCCTTCAAGTAGCTAGGTTCTGTGTCATGTTTGTCTTTATATCGTATCAAATTGGGTCAATTGGATTCCTGTGTTTAGCAGGGATGTTACATAGGCATAGCAAGCACTTCCCATCACTTCTTGTGCTGCCATATTCTGGACCATGATAGCTTCCTTGCTCTCTATGAGATAAATTTATCATATATTTTCATATATCATCTATGTTAATCAGTGGATGGCTTGCTTCCAGTAATTGTGGATGGCCCCAACACTGAGGGGTCTGAAATGGTATAGGATTTCCTGCTTGAGCAGAGGGTTGGACTAGAAGACCTCCAAGGTTCTTTCCAACTCTGTTATTCTGTTTTTCCCTGACACAAGATCCTTGGATGATTAAAAAAAGCACAACTATAGGAATAAATGAGTTTTTCTGAATTAGGAACATCAAATGTTTTGATATAGATTTTCAATCATTTTACATTCAGCTGTGTCAATAGCATTTCAAACCACGTGGAAAATTATATTTCTAATACTTTTCCAGGTTAAAAAAAAATACATTTGCATAGAAAGCTAGTACTTTACAGAGCTGGAAGATGCCACTTAGTTTCAGCATGATTAAATCAGTAGCAAATGATTGAAAACTGTGAGGGGAAGAGGAGGCTGTAAAGCTTTCTGCACAGATAAAACTCTACTACAATCAAAAGCCAAACAACTGTATGAAACAATAATATAAAATCAATAGTTTATTATATACATTGCAAAGCACACAAAATAAATAGGTCAGGAATTATATTTTACTCAGTTGTCAGTCGCCATCTAATATAAGCTACTTATAGTCAAATTCTACATTTTGCCACAATATAGGTGAGAGACTCACTTTGATGGAGATAAAGAGACATAACAGATTGCCTTGAACAATCTGGGAATTGCAATAAAAGAGTTGTAATATTCTGAGTACAGGACACTCATTAAAGATGCAATAGAATAATAACTCTATTAATCCTATAGTATGACAACATATGGGATGTTATTAAATCTGCTGATGGAGGGCCAATAAACTTTGTATTTGTAAATGTTCTCCTATATTATGGCGGTGGAAATGAGAGACAGTAACTGGCAATCTTGCTTCTGAGATGAATAAATCTCTCTTGAACTTTCTCTGTTTGAGAATTTAAATCTTGCTGATACATTAATATGGCTTGGTCATAATCCAAGAATAGCAATTTAGAGGAGAAACAAAGAAACACAGCAGAGCCTATTTTTACCTAAATTGAAACTATCACAAAATATATATGGAACTTGTATGTGTACAGGTATAAGCATAGGTATAAGTAACCTAGATCAGGGGTCCCCAACCCCCAGGCCATGGCCTATTTGCAACCAGGCCGTGGAGTGGTGCACATGTGTGTGTGCAGCTCAAATCACCCAAGAAGCAGGCCTGTGTGCATGCGCATGCGTGCTCGGCTCAACTTGCAACAACTCTTACATAAACATCTCTCTTAGTCCTACTCATTTTTTATTTTTTTTTAGTTTCATGGCCAGAAGGCAATTCATTACTAATCCTGTGGGATTAGTATAGCTATTTTACCCAGAGAAATCCCAATCTGTTGAAATGTTTCTTTTTTTGGGTCTTCTCATTCTTGGGCCTCACATTCTGGCCCTAAAATTCCTGCAAGGCTTTGTGATAGCCAGTGGTAGGTGATCTGACAACCAGAATTAAATTGTGTTGTAAAATGGGTCAGACAGATAAACTCAATAGGAAGAGTATAGAGAAGAGCAACAAAGATGATTAGGGGACTGGAGGCTAAAACATATAAGGAACGGTTGCGAGAATTGGGTATGTCTAGTTTAACGAAGAGAAGGACAAGGGGGGACATGATAGCAGTATTCCAATATCTCAGGGGCTGCCATAAAGAAGAGGGAATTAAGCTATTTCCAAAGCACCTGAAGGCAGGACAAGAAGCAACGGGTGGAAACTAATCAAGGAGAGAAGCAACCTAGAACTAAGGAGAAACTTCCTGACAGTGAGAACAATTAATCAGTGGAACAGCTTGCCTCCAGAAGCAGTAAATGCTCCAACACTGGAAGTTTTTAAGAAGAGACTGGACAGCCATTTGTCCGAAATGGTGTAGGGTTTCCTGCCCGAGCAGGGGGTTGGACTAGATGACCTCCAAGGTCCCTTCCAACTTTACTACTATTACTATTACTAATTTCATAACAAAAATATATTTATTCAGAGAGATTACTTGCATTTGTGCTGGTTGTTTCTTCTGGAAAATACATCTCTGTTCATTCCCATAGGTGAGAAGATAATGCTCTCTCCATACCATCTTTATAGCGGAACAGGGTCATTGGCTGACATCTGATGGCCCATGCTTCTCTTTAGACAAAGACATTCCAATCTGGCTTGTGTCCAGAAAGTCTCCCAATGTCCTTCAGAAACTCCTCCTACTGACCTATTAACATGGGATGGCTAACTAGCTAAAACTACATTTCCCATAAGCCATCTCTTAAGGAGACAGCACTTAACCCAATAAATGCCAGACATTCTTACGTACAGATCTACATGATCTAGTCGGGGTTACATAGAGTTACATGATCCAGAATACTCCCCGCTTGGAAATTTAAATTTCCACTACTAACTAACCAAAATAAGCAAAGGACATAGCATTAAGGCATGCAATGCTCATTGTTAACTAACTTGTGACTAAATAGGTAAAACATAGTATCAAACATGCATAACTATAAAGTAAAGATAAAACATGCACAATTATAACAGAAACAAGCAAGTGTTATATCAAACAATGCATAAACACAATACATAGTTAGAGGTTTGATCTTCTAGTTTGATCTTCATCAGCAACGGGACCAAATCGATGATCAGCCTGGCACAAGAGTCTTTGAGTCACGACCTGACTCACGTGGCTTCACGATCTGGGCCTCAGCTTGGCAAACTAGTTCATCACTGGGTGGGCCCAGTGCGCAAATCCTATGGGCCAATAGTTCTGGTATGCGTTCTTGTCTCTCAGCGAGACAAGGTATTCTCCCTGTAAAGGAAACTGGAACCAAATCTGGAACAGAAAAACTGGAACCCAAATTTTCTCAGGAACAAAGGAAACTGGATTCACAGGATACTCAGGAACCGAAGAATCTGGAAACATAGGAAACTCAGGAGCCAAAGAACCTGGAAAAACAGGAAGAGCTGGAGCTGAAGAATCAGGTATATCTGGAAACTCAGGAACAGCTGGAAACTCAGGAACAGCTGGAGCTGGAAACTCAGAATACTCAGGAACCGAAGGGTCTGGAACCACTGATGGAGGATTGAAGATGGCTGCTACTGTTGTCATTAGGGTAGTGAGGACTTCATGTGTGGGTGTCTTTGATGACATGGAGTCCATGATTTTGCAGGGTACGCCAATCATGTACTCCCATGCTTCGCCCATGTGAGGTGCATGGGGAGGGTAATTTTTGGCCTTCAGACATTTGTCAATCACTGAATCATGACAAATATCTTCAATAGTCTGTAAGTCCTTGCAGGCTTCTACAAGGCTAATTCTTGGGATGCTAAGACAGGTGATCAAGATGATCAAAACTATGCACAATCTCAGGTGTTTCTGCTTAGCTGTGGGTTTGAAGCAGTTTGGTTGAAGTTTATTGAATGCCTGAGATTGTGTGTTGGCATGTTGATCTGGAGCTGGAAGCATATAGCGTTGTGGTCTCTGCGACAACTGGCTATTTGGACAAGCCAAGAACTCAGGACTTTCTAGCCACTTAACTTGATTCACAAAGTTCTTATCTGTTGGCATATGTTGCCATTGTTCAGGGCTTAAAGATGTTTCAATCTTTTCTACTCTGTTGTCTACATAGACGTAGAAGTGTCTGCTTTGTTTGCAGATGTAGCTTGACATCACCTTGCTGTCTGCGTAGAAGGTGGTAGACTGTAATTCAAGACACAACGTCTTCGCTGTCAGGTTGATGAGCTTTACAGCCAAAGTGGTATCACGTAGTTCTAACCTTGGTACGGTGTGGCCTTCTTGTATTGTTAGTTTCACTTTTCCAAAGAAGACACCGAGACTGCAGCTCTCCCCGCTGTAGACTCTGATGTATCTTATAGTTGCAATCAAGACGACGTAAGGTGGCTCTCCCCGCTGTAGACTGTGATGCATCTTAAGGCTGCATTTACCTTTGTTGACACATCTGAGGAAGCGTACAATTCTTTCCTTTGTATGGTGGCTGGTGAGCTGGAAACATACGTGTGCTGCACTTGCATACTCTGGAGACATCTTGGGAGTACATTCCATGACTCCCAGTCTTGTTTCTGTTCTAGTAGATGTGGCTCATCCCAATGTGTGTTGCTCAGGAAGAACGCGCGTAGCTGCAGACATTGTTTGTCCTCTATAGACAAAGCTAAGTTATTGTAATTCTTACTAGTCTAGAACACTGTTGCTTCCAAAACAGGTTTGGTTGTCACAAGTGTGCAGTGTTCTAGGTGTGGTTTTAGGTGAGGTGCTGTTCCATTACTGAGAATGGAAGTTTTTGGGATGCTCACCTGGGTTGGGGTTTGCGGTTGATCAACACAAACCGTCCCTCCTATGGCCCATCCGAGTTCCGTCTTAATGGCTACTGGGGTTCCTGGTGGACCTTTGATTCTTTCATCAGAGCCAATTGACTCTGGGGCATCTCTTTCTACCATGAGTAGGATTTCAGTTTCAGGATCTAGAGGAGGGATTAAATCAGCTATGTGTGCTAAATGGGGTATTTTTCTTGCCGCCTCTGGTGTTGAAATTTCACTGTGAACATCTAGTAAGGTATTCCATTCTAACACTGATGGTAATCGGAAATGTGAACTTCCATCTATCGCTTCTATGCATAGACTAGTGATTTTCCTCCCCGCCGTGCGCATTGGTACTGTGCATGTATTTATTGCGAAATGCTTCAGTTTGCTCGGGAGGTCGAAGAGGTTGAAAAAGGCAGGCTTAGCTATAGTGACCTTGCTGTGTGGGTGTAATATGGCATACATCTTCACAGCCCTTTCAGGTTGCCAGTCGGGGTAGACTTTTGCAAGACAGATGGGTGAGCATAATGGAGGGCATGGTGAGTCACCACATATATCTGTGTAGTATGTCCTGTACAGTTTTGGCTGCCCTTCGGAGTCACTTTGAGTCTCCATCGTCAAAGTCGCTTGTTGTGTCTCCTCAGAGGGCTTCTTAGTTTCTAGATGTAAGGCTGCTGAGTGCTTGTCACTATCACACAGGTGGCATTTCACCCTGACTGCACAATCTCTGGCCATGTGATCTATAGAGTCACAGCATTTGAAGCATATCCTATGCTTTTTGAGTAGGGCCTTTTGATTGTCTAGGGATTTTTTCCCATATTCTCTGCAATAGTTTAGAGCAGCAGTTCTCAACTTGTGGGTCGTGACCCTTTTGGGGGTCGAACAATGCTTTCACAGGGGTTGCCTAAGACCATCGGAAATCACATATTTCCCATGGTCTTAGGAACCGAGAAACCGCTCCTCTATCTGGCCGCCACCGCCGCCCTCCTCCTCCTCCACCGGCTCCTCTGCCTCCAGGGTGCCCTTCTCTGACAGCGCCTGCTCCTGCCACCACAGCACCATTGCGCACGCCTCCGATGCTGCCCCTGGCTGGCTCGGCTGCGTGGGTGGCCAGGCCAAGCCGAGCCGAGCCAGGTCTGGGCCGCTGCTGGCCCTGCCGCTGGGCTGTTCTGCCGCTGCCACCACTGCTGGCTGAGCTGAGCTGTGGCTCCGAGCTGGTGCCCACGCCTCCTGGTTGTCCGGCCACGCTCCACTCCCAGCTGCCCTTCGCATTGCGCTAGAGCCTCCCCCACACTGCCCGGCCCACCTCCGTCACCATCGGAGGCTGCCTTGGCCCTCTGGTGCCCAGTGCAGCTCTGGGGCTGGTGGGCAGGAACAGCTCCTTCCCGGCTCACTGGGCTCCGGGCCTCGGAAACAGCCAGGCGGCAGGGAAGAGGATGAGGTGGCAGCGATGCCCGCATGTGCTTCAGAGGCCAGCTGGCCGGGCTGGGAGGGGAGAAGCGGTGCCTTCCAAGTGGGAGCTGGCGCTCCGGCCACACCCCTCTCATGTGCGACAAGTCGGGGAAGGGTTTGGCGGGGAAGGGCTGCATGGCGTTGAAAGGGGTTCCGTGACCCCGCTGATGCGATGGTGCTTAGGAGGCTGGAGGGGTGGGCAGGTCCTGGGTGGTGGCTGGGAGAGGGCAAGAGGTGCCAGGATGAGGTTGGAGGGCTCCAGGTTGGAGGGTGCGAGAGGGCAGCCAGCGGCTCCAAGGTGCGCGGATTCTCCGTGCGGCTTCTGAGGCCCTGGAGGTAACACCGCTTGGCTCTCCGCCAGGCGCTCCACCAGAGTTCCCCCCTCCCTGGGCAATTATGCAGAGCTGCTTGTGTGTCCTTGGCAGCACCTGTGGGCAAGGCTGTATGCCTAAGCCAAAACGCTGCACTTTCCCTACCGCTTCTTTTCCCGTTGGTCACAGAGGCAGATGCAATTTCCCTTTCCCTGGTTCTTTTCATCTGCGCTGGAAAGGACAATTTGGGCTATTTTATTACTGGTACCTGTTGCTTGTTTTATTATTTGTTGCTTTTGCTGAACCAGGGAAAATTGGTTAAAGTGATTTTCAAGAGCTGCAGAATGCCTCCAAGTAAAGCCGCAGCAATTACCTGGCCAATTTTCTCTGCTAGGGCATCTGTGTGTGTCTCCAGACCTTACTAAACTACCATCCCCAGCAGCCCTAAAAAGCACTGTGGAAGAGTGGGGAATGCTGGGAGTTGCAGTTCATCACCATCTGG